TGTCCCCAAGCTCTCATGGCTCTTCCACTCTGAAACCTGAGGTGGGAGAGGGGCAGATGGCAGCTTAAGAATTGGGTGAGCAGAAAAAGGGCTCTTTGGGGCTGAGACTCAGTGGTAGAGAGAGCACTTGCCTAGCCTGTGGGAGGCTCTTGGTTCAATTTCTGGCGCCTCACTGCCCTCCTACTCTAAAAAAGCTCCATGGTTCTTGGTTTCGAGGCTCAGGTACATCCACCCTTTTCTAAGAAAAATAGTTGCCACTTTTTGAAGCTTATTCTTTTCTTTCTTTGTTTCTTTCTCGTTTTTTTGTCTGTTTTTTTGAGGCAGGGTTTCTCTGTGTAGCCCTGGCTGTCCTGGAACTCACTCTGTAGACCAGGCTGGTTTCGAATTCACAGAGACCTGCCTACCTCTGCCTCTGGAGTGCTGGGATTAAAGGTGTGCACCACCACTGCCCAGTTTATCTTTCTTTTTTCTTTTCTTTCTTTCTTTCTTTCTTTCTTTCTTTCTTTCTTTCTTTCTTTCTTTCTTTCTTTCTTTCTTCCTTCCTTCCTTCCTTCCTTCCTTTCTCTCTCTCTCTCTCTCTCTTTCTTTCTTTCTTTCTTTCTTTTTTTTTTAAAGGCTGTCCTGGCACCTGCTATGCAGACATACAGACCAGGCTAGCCCTCCAACTCACAGAGATCTTCCTGCCTCTGCCTTCCCAGTGCTGGGATTTAAGGTGTACACTACCACAACTGGCAATTAAAAAATTACTTATTTTTATTTTTATGTGTATGAGTGTTTTGCCTGCATGTATCAAAGTGCACTGTGTGTGTACCTGGTGCCCTCAGAGGCCAGAAGAGGGTGCTTGATCCCCTGGAACTGGAGTTAACTGTTGGCTGTGAGCCACCACATAGGTACTGAAACCCAACTCAAGTCCTCTGCGAGAGCAGCAAGCGCTGTTAACTGCTGAGCCGTCTCTCCAGCCCCCTGAGGCTTATTCATTGACCGGGCCTCATATGCACAATTTCCCATGAGATGGTTTCACTGTGCTAACTGGGTGAGTAGTAGCTGGCTTCTCTGACTGGCTCACTCTCATTTCTCATCTGTCAAACTAGAACAACAGTACCTGCCTCCGAGAGTTGATGACAAGATTGAACGAGTCTGTGTAAAGTGCTGGCACGACATACTGAGCACTCAATAATGTTTGCTGAATAAATGAATTCTTTTATGATAAATGATGACAGTTGGTTCAGATAGGGGGTGTTAGTAGACCAAGGTCACACAGCAAGTGGGGAATTTGAACAAGTTTCGCCTCCCAGTAAGGTTTTCAAATATTATGCTTTTCTGGGTAGACTGGAGAAGAAAAGGAAGACGAAGGAGGAGGAGGAGGAAGGGGTGGGGAGGAACAAGTCCAAGGCTTTTGTCATGCTGCAGGAAGGTTGGAGGAAGAGAAGGAGAGCAAATTGTGTGTATGTGTATTCGTGAGGTGTGTGGCACCCAGGTTAGGCAGGGTTGGGAGGAGTTAGGGTCGGGCTGGGGCAGGCTACTCTGGAGGGAAGCTTATTAGTGTAATTACCTCCAGCAGACATAGCCCCACCCCGCTCCGTGGGGGATTGTTACATGTTCTATTTAAGACAGCTTCCAAGGCACTATAGAGGGTGAGCTTGCAGACCCTTGGGCGGCATCCATCTGTCCATCCCCAAACCCTGTTTAGTCCTGGGGACTTTGCTTGCTGTACCCAGCTTCCTGCATCTCAGTGAGGGCTGCTCTTTCCCCTCCTCTCCTAAAAGGTCTGGCCAGGTCCTGAGCCATGGCTCCTGGGCTTTCTTGGGTGGGCTGGGAAGGTCTGGTGTAGAGAATGGGAACAGTCCGGGTGAGTCTGCCATGAACTGAGCTGTCTCCGGGAGTGGCCCATCTGGGTAGGGCAGGATCAGGGAAGGTTTTAGGGTAGGGCTGTGATTTAGTGGCTGTCTCACAAGAATGCCACTGAAATCGGAGGGGTTTTGGGGTTAGGACCGTGGGTGATCAGGGCCCCATGCTGGTGAAAGGTACACCATGGGGCTAAGATGGGAATCAGCCTCTGAGGCCAAAGGGGAGATTGGGATTTCATCTTTAACTACCTCTTCTCCTTCAGGCCTTTTAGTTTCTTTCCCAGAAATGCCTAAAATCAGGGTCAGGCTAGCAGGGGAAGCACTGAACTCTTGTATCTTATCCTTTTGCTCAAGTCCAATGAATCTGTCCCCTCTGCCTCAATTCGTTCATCCCGGCAGAAGACAGGCTGAGGGCTGGAAAGGCTTTGAAGTCAAAGATGAAAGAGACAAGGGGATGATTATGCACAACTAAAAACACCAGCCCTAATAACCTCAGGGTATATGTGGGTGGGGGTGGGACCTTGAGGGAGGTGGTGCCTAGGATGGGAGGGGCTGACTGCAGACCTTTGGGAAATCTTCCTAACCTGAACAGAAGAGCCTCCTTCCCTCTCCAGGTTCCTGCCCCTCACTAAACCAGGGACTTATTTGCAAAGGACAGTGGCAGCCTAGAGAATCTGAACTCGGAACCGCCATCTTGAACTTTGAGGCCCTGATTTTTTTTTTTTTTCCCCAAGACAAGCTCTGGCTGTCCTGGAACTCACTCCGAAGACCAGGCTGGCCTCGAATTTACAAAGATTCAACTGTCTCTACCCACCCCCAGCCCCCAGCTGAGTGCTGGGATTAAAGGCGTGTGCCACCAGTGCCCTGATTCTTATGTGTGTTTTAATTTTGTTTTGAGGCAGGTTCTCACTCTGTAGGCCAGGCTGGCCTTAAACTCACTCTTTAGCCCAGGCTGTCCTCAACTCCCAATAACCTCTCTCTTCCCTCAGTCTGCTGGGATTATAGGCACAAACCACCACATTCAGATGAACTGGGAAGGGATGCCTTGTAAAGAACTCAGACCCAAATACCCTAGTATGGTTCTAAAGGTGGGTCTTGAGTCCTGGCAAGCAGTTTCTCCACTCTCTTCTTCCTTAAAGCAGGTTGGGATGTAATGGGGGTGGGGGTGAGGGTGGGGGTGGGGGTGGAGAGGCTAAGGTGTATGGTGCACTACTAGGCTCCCACCCCTCTGTGGACTTGGCACCAGGAAGGACTTAATTATAGCGTCCTCCAGGGAGATGGTGGAGGCCAGTTGGTGGCAGGGTCCAATGTCAGAGAATTTGGACTCAGTCTTCTTGTGGCAGGATGTTGGCAGGGTTTTTCCAGGTCTCTGACACCTAGTTCTCTGGGGCCTCCTGACTAGGGCAAACAAGGCTTAGTCTTGGCTGTTCTGGGCAAGCAGGATGCTGCCTCTTCAGCTGGCCCAGGGTACAGCTAGGACACAGGGATCACACATGCTGGCAGAATATGGAGCCTGTGTGTTAGGGTCCTGAGTTTGAACTGTGTTGGGGTGTCCTCTGGAGTTGGGACAGTATTCACAGAAGGACAGGGCACCTGCTAGAGACAACCTTGGAGAGGAGGTCGGTGACAGACATGCATGCCTTGGTTCTCTCATTCATTTAAATAGCTGTGATGGATGGCCAGTTGCAGGGGGTAAGGTATAAAAGTCATGAAAGAATGAGACCACACAGCAGTTAGATGGAGGAAGGAGGGTAGAGTGGGAAAAGGCCCTCGTGAAGTTAGTGGGGGTACACAGTCAAAGGAAAGGAAAAGAGACAGGAAGAGGGCCTTGGGTGAGGGATGAGAGCCAGGGATAGCGCAGCCCTCCGGCATCAGCATAGAGCCAGGTGTCCTCGGTGGGGGCAGGGAGACCACAGGTGTCTGAGAGTGGTAGGGGGGCTCCACCATAAACAGGGCCCTGGAGCCGGCCTAGCCAGGGTGGAGGTCAGAGGTCAGAGCAGGCCCTGCGCTGCTGTGGCGGCAGGGTTGTGGGCAGGGGCTGCTGCAGAGCCCGGAGTACAGCTAGGCCCTCTCCTCCCCCATCCCTGGGGCTCCCTTCCCGATGTAGGTCATGAAGATGGGGTGGCCAAGGCTGACGGACTGGCTGTCAGAGCCCAGCGGGACTTCCCTTCCCCCACTCTGACTTTCCTTCGTCCCTCGGTCTCCTGTAGCCCCCGACCCAGGTCTGGGGTGGAAGGGAAGAAGAGGGGGAGAAGGGCCCAGGCAGCCGGCGGAGGGAAAGAGGGGCAGGTCCCGGCGTGTCGGGGCAGGATGGCTGCGGAGACAGGATCTAAGCCGCAAGAGCCTGGGATGGACAGTTTCCCACCCGCTCTTTCACCCAGCCCCTTATCTTCACCCGTCATGTTCCCACCTCCCACCACACTCACCTCGAAGCTACACCCAGCATCTTCTCCCTCCACCCCCCACTTCCTCCTTTCCTTCTTATCCTGGGCCCAGAAGGCTGTCGGAGTGCCAAAGCCAAGGGTGGGGGAAGGCGCTGGGGGTGACGGGTCAGAACCTTTACCTCAACTCCACCAGGCCAGGACCAGCCCCCTCCCCTAGTCTCTCGTACACTGTCTTATAATATTCATGAGCCTCATGAATACGCAATGTTCTCATTATGGGGCGGGGGTCTCACTTTCTCGGCTTTCCTTTTGCCCCTCCCTAGATTACCAGGAGAAGCAGCAGCTAGGGGAGGAGGGGAAGAGGGGACCCCAGATGTGCAGCCAGATGAGGGGGGAGGGGGAACGAGTGGCAGACCGGCGGCCGCAGTCACCGCCGTGCCGAGTGGGGGGGGAGGTGACCCAGTGAGAAGGAACCAGATACCCGGAGCCCAGAGTCGCGGAGACCACTCACCGAGGATCATGCTGGGGACCCAGGCGCCCGGGGTTCCGCGTCGTTCTGTCCCGGGGGCCGTTCTGGCCGGACTGGGGGTACGGGGGGGGGAGGAGTCGGGGAGGAGCAGGGCGGGCCGAGGCGGAGCGGGGGCGGGGCCCACAGCAGGTGAAGACCGGAGGGGGCACCCTAGCACCCGGGGCTCCGCGAGGGGGCGTCCTGGCTGCCTCCCACTTCCTCCAGCCTTTCAGTTGCCGGCCCCCCCCCCCCCCCCAATCTCTGGGCTTTAGGATGTGGCTTTAGCTGGGGCTGGGGAACAAGATGGTGAGAAGCGATGGAGGAGGAAACTAAAATGCCTAGGTTCCCGAGGGGCTCAGTCTGAGGGCGGGAAGACGCATTCTCGGTTGATAGGGGGCCAGGATTCTAAGTGCTCTGGGGAGGGACAGAACCCGGGTTGAGTGGGGTAGTGATGCCCCACTGGGTCCAGGGGGTGCAGTGAGGATGCCTGGGTCCCAGTTTGTTCTTTCGCTTCGGAGCAGGACGTCGGGATTGGGTATCAGAGGTGAGTTGGGGGTCTGAAGATGGATCCGAGATTGATCTCTGATAGGGTTCTTAGGGAAGCTGAATGAACAGACTGCAGCAATCAGTGGTCCTGAGGAGGTAGAAATAGGAGCTTGCAGTGGTGATCGCTAGGGCATTTGGAAAATGACGGAAGGTCAGAATCAGCAAGACACAACCTTCTAGAGATGTCCTAGACTGAGTTGGGGAGGAGGAGTATCTATCCCGGGCTTAGATGCAGGACACTCCCCACCAAGGAGAGCTTTGATTCTGGTGGCAGGGGTGTAGACGACGGCTGGAGGGAACGTCTGAGGATGGGGTGTTCCTAAGACAAACAGGATGAGGCTGGAGTGTGAGAGTCGGGGAGGTATCTGGGGAAGAGGCAGCTGCTACCGCAGCCTGAACCTGTCTGTACCTGCCGCCAGAGGGAGGGCACCAGGCAGAGTTCCCAGAAGGCCAAGCAGCCAGCTTTAGGCCAACCCCAGGCAGAGGGAAAGGGGATGAGACTGGGAATTGGAACACTCAGGGTTTAGGGAGGGTGGAGGCAAGGGTGAAGAGCAGGGTCAAGAGTGGTAGGAGTGGATCCAGAAATATTCGGGAAAGGAGGGCATTTCCAGCTTCTGGAGGGAAGTTGGGGCCTGGTGGCCAATTCAGGTGCCGGAAGTTTGGGCTGCTATCGTGAGCCCCAGCCATGTCTGCCTTCCTTATGTGAAAAGCTGTTTGCAACTACCCAGATGCTCCAGCTCAAGGCTGAGTTAATGATGGGTGCCAGCACCTTGGTCTTTGGGTCCTGTGATCCTGCTTTGAGGAAAGATGTGGGACCTCTGGGTCCACCAGAGGCAATCTAACCTGTCAGATCCCACGGCACTTCTATAACAGAAAGCCTGCTTCCTAGATTCAGCCCCTCCTCTCCTCCTCCAGGTTTCTCCCCTGGGGAAGAGACAAACTAAACAAGGGCCAGCACTGGTCTTGGTTGATCTGAGGGCACCCTTTGCCCTTCAGGCCTTGTCCAACCTGCCCACACTGTCCCTAGGGTCTCTGAGTTAGGCAGAACTCAGAGGAGGGGTTGCTTAGCTTACTATGGGAGGCAGCTGGCTGGAGGGTGGGGTGACCTTGCAGGCAGCTGGGAGGGGGAGCATTGTGTTGGGTAAATTCATTATTGATGAGCCCTGCACCCCAGGCTACTAATGAGTCCAGGCCGACTGCCCTAATTGATGTCAAGAAACTTGAGACCCCCAGATCATCTTCCCGCCTGCCAGCTGCCTCTTCTGAGCCCCTTACCCCCTCCCCCATCTTCAGCTGCTTTGTTACTTCCTCCCTCCTCTTTTCCACCTTCACCAACACAGACAAGGAGAGGGTCAGGCGGCTGATCTCCACAGCCTCCATGCTCCTCTGGAGAGTGGGAGACACATTCTAACTGCAGGGTCTGGAGGTTGAGGAGGCAGCTCAGCTCAGAGGAGAGTCAAAGAAGTAAGCTCAGGGATGATGCAGGTACTAGATCACATCTGTGGCATGCCTGCACCCAAGGAATTCCTTAATTAGAGGGAGATCTTGTCACCCTCTTCTGGAGCAAAGGCACCATACAGTCACACCCAGGACACCAGCCCTTAGTCCTAGCCCACTTCCCTTCTTCATTTCCTCCTCATTACAGTGGAGACATTTCAGACCCAGTCCCTAGAATTGGTGTCAACCTTCCCCAGTAGGATCTCCTTGAGAATTCCTGCTGTCCTTGGACGTACTGGGCACTTCGCTGCCTCATGTCTCTGCTGCCTCAGTCCTCTTGCCTTGTGGATTCTGGAAAGACACTCCATAAGTATAGGACTGGAGTGTGGTTCAGGTAGCTTACCTGGAGGAATATTTGAAGGTGTTGTAAGAGTCTGAGTTAATAATAATAGCCCTGCTGAGGGGAGAGTTGGGTCTCACACCTCCCTGCCACAAAGTCCCAGAAATTTGTGGCTATGCTGCCCTCTGGTGGTAAAATCCTGGTCTAGCATGACACAACCATCTTCGCCCTATTCAACTTCCTGCACGTCAGGACAGACCTTGAGAAAGAGGACCCCGGGGCTGTCTCATGTGGCATGCTTTCTCTTTGAAGACCTGAGCTCTCCGGCATGTTGGTTAAGAATGAGGGCTTTCACAGATGGGCAACACTGAATGTGACTTGTTCTGCTATGCAGTGTGTCCTTGGCAAGTTACATAAGCTCTGGGCCTCAGTGTCTCCTAAAAAAAATGGAGGTAATGGTACCATCACAGGACTGGTAGAGTTTAGATGTGGGTGAAACATTTATCATGCAAGCCTGACAACTTGGGTTCGGATCCCCAGAACCCACATAAAAACCTGACTTGTATAATAGCTTGTGTCTGAAATCTCATTGCACCCCTGAGACACAGAACTGCCAGAAGCTTGCAGGCCAGCTAACCTGTGGTATTCAGCAGTAAACAAGAGACCCTGCCTCAAGCAAGGTGGAAGGCAAGGACCAACATTCAAGTTCAAAATTGTCTTCTGACTTCCTGTGTGTGGTAAACTCACATGCCCAATTACAAGCGCACACACGTGCGCAGGAAGAAAAATTAAGAGATCATCTATATGAAGTATTTAATGCCCTTACACTGGCACACAATAGTAACTCCAACACATAACCCCAAAGCAGGCTGTGATTAAAGGCCCTTGTCACCAAGACCTGAATTTGATTCTTTTTTTTTTTTTCTTTTCCCCAAGACAGGGTTTCTCTGTGTAACTAACTGCCCTGGAACTAGCTTTGTAGACTAGACTGGCCTTGAACTGAGATCTGCCTGCCTCTGCCTCCCAAGTGCTAATACTAAAGGTGTGTGCCACCACTGCCCCTGCCCCGTTTGATTCTTAAACTCACTTGGAAGAAAAACAAGTCCTCCAAGTTGTCTTCTGACCTCCGTTATGTGCTGTGGCATGTGGCCCCTCCCACAATTCACACAAAATGTGCAAAACAAACAGAAAAAACTAACAGGCTTTCCTTCTGTTTTATTTTTCTGATTTAAGGGAAGCCCAGGTGAGTGTTTTATGCAATCTTCCCTCACCTTTCATCAGGACCTCTCTGCATTCTTCCATAATTCTCAATCCTAAAGAGGAGAGATTTCTTTCTTTGCTCCTTGGTGGTAGGGAAGTCTGGATCTGGTGGGGACTGGATGAGGAACAACAGACAAGCTCCCACTTTTTTTTTTTTTTTTTTTTGAGACAGGGCTTTTCTGCCCTGGCTGACTTGGAACTCACTCTGTAGACCAGGTGGCCTTGATTTCGGAGATCTGCCTGCCTTTGCCTCCCGGTCTGGGGTCAAAGGTGTGTGCCGCCACTGCAGGTTCCTTTCTCCTCTTCTAGTCTCTCTCCCTTGGGTCTCTTGCAGTCCAGGCAAGCCTTGAAATTATTATGCAGTGTGTAGCTAAGGATGACCTTGAACTGATTCTCTGGCCTCCATCTCCAGAATTCTGGGATTGTAAGCATGTGTTACCACACCTAGCTCCCTTTCACTGTCTTTTAATCATCTAGAAGTTTGTGGGGTGGAGGAATCTCACTCCTGGCTCCTAGTGGGAATAGGCCCATGGGAGACAGACATTTCCTTTTTACCCTGCTTTCTGGGTCTAGGATAGTTTGGAAAGTAGGGTGGAAGGACAGACTGCAACTTTGGTCAGTGGGGGCAGTGGGTGGGGTTTATTGCACTTGCAACAGAGTTTAAATAAGTTGGGGGTGGGTTCTGGAGCAGAGGGAAAGGGTGGGTGGGGAGGGAAGGGCAGCATCAGTGCAGCTGGTGGGCAGAACCCAGGTCCGGCAGGCCTGGGGCTCCCCATTCTCTGGGGAATGAGTGAGCCTGTTTGGCCAAGCTGAGGTTCCAGATATGTTGCCACTGTGGCCTGGTTAGGGTCCTGGGCAATTCCTGACTTCTCCTAAGTCAGGGTTGAATAGGGCCCTAGACCCAGGTCTGCAGCTGACCCAAATGCCATCCTGGGTCTGTGAGCATACGTTCTTAAAATCTGAGACTGGGCTCCAGATCAATCCCAGGCCCCAGACTGGGTCTGGCTCCATTCTCATTCTGACTCCCCTGGACCTGGGTCTGGGCCAGCATCGACCTTTGTTTGGGATTTGTCCTGAGCTGGTCCTGCAGCACCATCCACGGTTAGTGTTCTTTATTGGCCCTCTAGGATGGGGGCTATCGGAGCTGCCAGGTCTCACTCCCCAAGTCTCCGGTTCTTAGCTGCAGGCTTTCTTTGGATCTCTGGGAAGGCCAAAGATACATCTTTGCAGTCTGGAACCAGACGGGAAGTCCTGGTGGTATGCCTGGCCCACAGAACCATGACTGGATTCCCTAATTACGGCTCCAAGTTGCCTTCATGAAAGTCTCCAAAATGTAAAGGCTGAAGGAAGGCTGGGGCTTCTGTCCCTGGACCTGAGGCCCCCATCCAAGAGAGGGCATGTGTAAACGAGGGTCCTTCACAGTGCATGGGGGGAAGGATCCCCAGCTTCTTGTCCCCCAGCTCTGGCCCTTCAAGTATGTCTCTGGGCTAGGGAGAACAGCTTCTCCCCAGCCCTCAGCACCTTCAGGAAGTGCCTGGTCCCTCCCTGTTGGCAGGTAAGGGACTGGCTCTTCAGGATCAGGAGTCTGGGATCAGGAGGACTCAGGCATCTGAGGTGGCTGGAGGCTTGAGCTGAGCTTTTTCCATGGCTGTGCCGTACGGGAGGGAGCGTTTGAAGAAGCCAAGCTGATGAGAAAGGAGGCACAATGAGAGATCATATTCATTCTACTAGGGAACCAGAGGGATGAGGAACCTCCTGCCTCCAGCTTCCCCATCCTGCCAAAGTGGCTTCTGAATACACGTTCAGATACTTCCCCATGGGGTCCAATGGATGTGGGAGGTCTAAAATCAGGGGTTTACTATGAGGCAATCTCTTGTCAGAGTTTTAACAATGCTCCCAGTAAGCCAGGAAGGGTAAACAAGTTCAATTCAAGTGCCATATCTGATTGCCCAGCAGTGGCCGCCACCTGTAGGATATGATTTGTTGTTCACTGCCACAGTTTTCGAGGAAATGACAGCACAAATGCCATCATGTATTTGCCATCTGCAGTTTTGCAATATTGGCAAACTTATCCCGAGACAGGAGGCTTCTTTCTAAACGGGGGCTGCAGACTGAAGGGAGGGGTCCAACAGTAAAAGACAGGATGGGGGTGTGAGGAGCCAGGGCAAAGATGAGGGCCTGTGCTGGAAAACAGATCTGAGAGTGGCTTTTTAGGTTCTACTGTGTAAAAGGTGGAGCCTGGTAGGAGGGTAGCCAAGCCAGGGGCAGGGTGTGGCTGACCTTGTAGAGGACATAGATGAGCAGACCTAGGAGCAAGAGGCCAAAGAGGATGGCTAGGATGATGATCCACAACGGGACACCATTGCTGCCTTCTGCCTTGGTCCACTGCACAGCTGTGGCCACCTGGGGACAAGCCAAATGACACTGAGAACCCAAAATTCTTCCTACCCTTTTCCTGGCTACTACTGACTATTGGATCTGGATCTAACTCTCATTTTTAGCTAACAGCATTATAAACTTAAAGATGGAAGAGTCTGACGTGCACAAGTGTCTTTTTGTTTTTTGAGAGACAGGGTTTCTCTGCATAGCCCTGGCTGTCCTGGAACTCACTCTGCAGACCAGGCTTCGAACTCAGAGAGATCCGCCTGCCTCGGCCTCCCAAGTGCTGGAATCAAAGGCATTCACCGTGTCTCTTGTTTTTGTGTTTCACATCTGCTGTTTTCTCCACCCAGAATCTTCCTTTCTGGGACAGTTAGCCTAGTCAGTTTCCTCAGGCCTCAGATTATACACCACTCCTTCCAGGGAGGAAGGAGAACCGGGTTTAGGTATTCCTATGACATGTTCCCATAAACTGTCTGGTATGTGTCATGCTGACATCATTGCCTTCTAGGTTGTGAACTCCAAAGCAGAGACACCATGTTAATCACCTACAAAGTCAGGAAATATTTGCACAAAGAAAGACCAGCCTGTATCCATGTCCTCACCCTGCTTCTGACATTCTTGATCCTGCCTTCTTTGATCAAGACCTCTGACCTTGAACTCACCTGAAGTTTCTTTTGTGGCAGCTGCCGAGGCAGGATCTGGTAGGGCATCTTCAGAGCTTCATACACAGCCTCACACTGCAGGCTGAATGGCTGGTGTTCCCGCTGTGGGTGGAGAAAGGTGGTCAGGGCAGCCCCTCTTGGGATCTAGAGGACACAGGGCTTCCCCACAGTTTGTCTCAGGATGTGATCACTCCCTATTACGGACTCACTCTCTCTGATTCTCTTGATGTTCCTTATGAGAAATAGTAAAATTGAATAATTATAACTGAATAATGTATAATCAGATGACTATGTGTCTAATAATTTTTTAATGATGAATATGGGTTAACATCCAGGACCATGGTTGATACATAATGTGTGTTCAGTAAATGATAGCTTTTTCCTCTTCCTGTTTCTGCTTGTCCCCTCACTATGGATTCATCTTGTCTCTCTTAATTTTTTTTTTAAATTACAGTTGTGCGCATGTGTGTTCTATGTGTGTGTATGTGCATATGTGTGCATGTGTGTTCTATGTGTGTGTATGTGCATTCTATGTGTGTGTATGTGCATATGTGTGTGCACATGCCAATGCACATGTTCCATGACACACATGTGGAGGTCAGAGGATAACTTTTACAAGTCAGTTTTCACCTTCCACTTTGTTGAGGCTGGGTCTCTTTTGTTTCTGCCACTATGCTACATACCACAAGCTAGCTGACCCACCAAATTCAGTTTTTTCCTTGGGTTCCAGGAATTGAACCCAAGTGGTCAGGCTTGAACAACTAGTCCATTTACCCACTGAGCCATCTCCCCAATCTTCTTTCCTTTCTTCTTATTTATTTTTTAAACATTGATGTATTTATTTGTATGTGCTTGGGCATGCACATGCCAAGGCTTGCCTATGGAGGTCAGAGGGAGTCAACTCTCTTTCTGTAAAGTGGGTCCTGGACATCAAACTCAGGTTGTTAGGCTCAGAGGCAGGTACTTTACCCACCCACTGAGCCAGCTCACAAGTCTTCTTCTCTTCTTTCCTTCCTGTGTATGGTGTGTGTGAGTGCATATGTAGGTGGGTCAGAGCCTGAAGTCTCATACACTGAGACAGGCTCTCTCTCATGTGCATGTATGCGTATGGTTTGTGTTTACATGTGTGGGTGGGTCAGAGGCTGATGTCGGATATCTCATACATTGAGACAGGCTCTCTCATTGAACCCAGAGATCACCATTTTGCCTCAACTGTCTGGCCAGCTGACTGTGGGGATTCCTTATTTTTGCCTCCTATGTGCTGGGATCACATACACGTGGCTGCCACACCAGATAGGCTTTCACTTATGTGAAAACTCTAGTCCTCATACTTGCATGTAAGTGCTTTACCCAAGGAGTCAGCTCCCAGCCCACTCTGGTGTTTAACCTGTGGGTTGAGTATGCACTCTACCACTGATCTGCATTCCCATTCCCACTACTGCTCGCTCTCTCTCTCCCTCCCTCCCTCTTTTTGTTTTTTTTGAGACAGGGTTTCTCTGTGTAACCCTGACTGTCCTGGAACCAGGCTGGCCTTGAACTCTGCCTCTTGCCTACCTACTGCTGGGATTAAAGACATGTGCCACCATGTCCAGCCTGATTTTCTTTTTGTGTGTGTGGTTATTTATTTATTGTTTGTTTTGTTTTGTTTTTTTGAAACAGGGTTTCTCCGTGTAGTTTTGGTGCCTGTCCTGGATCTCGCTCTGTAGACCAGGCTGGCCTCGAACTCACAGAGATCCACCTGGCTCTGCCTCCCAAGTGCTGGGACTAAAGATGTGTGCCACCACCACCCTGCTTATTTATTGTATTTTTTTGAGACAGGATCTCACTGTGCAGCCCTGACTGGCCTGGAACTCACTTATGTAGACCAGATCGACCTCAACTCAGAGATGCACCTGCCTGTGCTCCTGAGTGCTGGGATTAAAGGTGAGCGAGTGCCATCATGCTGGCCTCTACTGTTCTTCTATCAGGGCCAGAAAGGGAAACAGTGGCTGTTTCTACTGTGGCCACGAGGTGGCGCCGAGGACACACAACTGGTCTAAACCAGGGTGAGGGAGGGAGCTGTAGTTTGTATGTTTGCACAGTTGCCAAAGCAGAGGAGGAAGGGCAGACAGCAGGGAGAGAACAGGGTCAACCAACTAGGCCCAAAGGTTGGGGTCCGGGCTGCATAAAGCTCTCTCACCTGCAGGAAGGTCTTGGCCCAGACTCGGAAATGCAGCTGCAGACTCCAGCTCTCTTGGCGGTGCAGTGGCCCAAACTCACAACGCAACCTGAAACACTTGGCTTCAGGGCATTTCTGGAGAAAAAGAAGGTATTTGAGCCCAGAATTCTACTTTGGTAATCCTGAGAACTCAAACCGGTGTCCAGTGATTGGGACAAACTCCATTCCCTGCAATGACTTACCAGGACTTGTGGCCCTGAGGTGGTAGCGCTCCTGCCCGGAGCCTCTCTTTTCCGCAGGTGGTGTGGGGCGCTGTCGGGATCCAGCTGGAGGGAGAGACATTCTTACTGTCCCTCCTGCTCATTACAGCACCTAAGTCAGCCTGAACCTGAGTTCCAGAGCAGGAGCCCGGCTCCCGTCTCTGTCCCTGTGTCCAGCCAACCCACCCACTGCCAGAGCAAGGCACCCACCTTGTTCTGCACTGAAATAGGAGATGTGTAAAGAAATCATTAAGTCCCTCCTGCCTCAGGGCCTTTGTACTGGTTGTTTCTTCTTCCATCGGGAATGTCCTCAGCCCTGTCTTTCAGGCTTCAGTTAATTCATTACTTACTTTTATCAAGACAGGGTTTCTCTGTGTAGCTTTGGTGCCTTTCCTGGAACTCACTCTGTAGACCAGGCTGGCCTGGAACTCACAAAGATCTGCCTGCCTCTGCCTCCCGAGTGCTGGGATTAAAGGCATGCGCCACCACTGCCCGGCCTTCATTACTTACTTTATTTAGCAGTGCTGGGATTGAACCTAGAATCTTGGGCATGCTAGGTAAGTGTCCTCCTACCTGGCTAATGGCTACATCTTCTAGATGTTTCCCATCATTATGTCGACTTTGTATCCCACAGCATATTAGGTCCACTTGCCTGTTTTCCTTCTTTCCTTCAAGAGTTCTCACTATGTAGCCTTGGCTGTCCTAGAACTCACTATGGAGATAGGACTGGCCTTAAAACTTGTGACTATGTTCCTGCTCCAGCCTCCTCTAAGTGCTGGTGATTAAGATGACAGGTGAGCTAAGATTACAGGTGTCACCACCATGCCTGGTAGCTCTGCACCTTCATTACTTTCTGTCCATCTTCTTTTTTCACTCAGGGTCTCATGTATATAGCTGAGGATAATCTTGAACTTCTGATCTTCCTTCCTCTCCCAAGTGCTGGGACTATCGGTGTACATGCCAGGTCTCATCACTTTTCAACAGCCAATTATTTTTCTTTTTACTTATTGTTTACCAGCCTTCATTAGACGCAAGCTCCAGGAATGTGGGGACCTTGTGAGTTTCATTTGGTGTGGGGTTTTTCCTAGTTGTAACTGTAACCCTTACTTCATTAAGTGTTGTTTGCAAACACACATTCTCAGAGGGCCAGAGGACAGGTCTGAGAAGCCTCGGAGGAGGGACGAGGTGGCATAGACCTGGGAGCACACCAGGAGAGTGAAGACTGCCAGGCCAAAGGACAGAAATGCAGCAGATATGGGTCTTTTTCCTCCTTCCAGATCTTGTGGAGTCTGTCTCCCCACCACTTCCAGTAGCCTCCAGGCAACCTTTCCCAGCCCCACGGCCCCAGTCCTTCAGCCCATGCCCATGTCCAGGTTCTTACCTCCAGGCCCTGTGAGTTAGGGGTGTAGTTGGAGGTACAGTTGCTGAGTCCTGTCACCCTGGTCACATAGAGGAGCTGCTGGCCTTCCAGAGCCTGGGGACAGCTGAGCTCCAGCATGCCCTGGCTAATGGAGCTGGGGCCGTGGTTGATGAGCTAAGAGGGAATAATATAATACAACTTTCTGAAGGGAAGGCTGGCTTGATAAAGAGGCCTAGGTCACCACCCATACACCCTGCATCAGGGCTCCTGTCTGAGAATTGAAGGAACACCTGAAGGCACTATAAAATCTACCTCAGCCATCACTTTTGAGACAAGGTCTCACTCTGTACCCAGGCTGGCCTGGAACTTACTGTATAGATCATGCTGGCCTAGAACTCGCAGCAATCCTCCTGATACAGGCCCCCTTTGTAAGTCAATGGACTGGTGTGTTCCTCTTCTGGCTGTCTCTCAGAGACCCTCAGTACTCACCAGGCCGTCCCCTCTTCTCCACTAACCCAGGTCCTAGTCACTGTCACTTATACTGGCTCCTCTTTCCCCCATCATGTGGCTTGACCCCCTGGCTTTGTCTCCCAACCCTCCTCACCTCATAGACATGGTGGACAGCAGGGCCCAAGTCTCCCTCCTTCTGAGGCTGGTCTTGGGGATACCAGTCACTGACTGGGAAGAGCACAGCTTCAGGCTTGGAGACCCTGAGGAAGGAGATGGGTTAGAGCAGGCAAGAGGAATCCAAGTGTCCTCCCCTAGAAGTCCATCGCCCTTCCCTCTAAGGGCCCCACTCTGCTTGGGCACTAACCCATTAAGGGAGACCTGGGCCTGAGCCTCCACGGAGAGCGGGAAGGAGACCATGTTGCTTTGTGAGTTGTTCAGGTTCTTGCTGTGGGATGGAGGCAAGAGTGAAGCAGTTTGCTGAGGAGGCACCAGGCTCTGCCACCTGCCCCACTCTCCCTTCTTCCAGTCTCAACTCAGTCCCAGCTCAGGTCCAGTCACTCCCTACCTGAAGATCTGGAAGTCAAACTGGATGGTTTTCTTTGTGTCTCGAAGATGAGGAACAGTGAACCGAAGGCCACCCCAGAGCTGTGAAACGGAGGAAAGGGGGACTATTGGATGGGGTGTTGAGCTGTGCGCTGGGGCAGCGGGACCCTGTCCTGTACTCTCCCCGATCCCTTCCTTTTCCACCCTGACTTACACTGGAGCCTGCCTTCATGGGGTTGCCCAGGTCACACACCAGCTGTCGGCTCTGGTTCACAGCAAAGTAGTCACAACTCAGGCTGGAGAAGTTCTGGGGACAGGCAGGCACAGGCCAGTCAGGCTTTGGCACCCTCTGGAGGGGATCACCACTGCAGCCCCATTTGAGAGTCCCTTCTCACCCCTGGGTGTCTGACGAGTCCTGAGTACTCAGCCTCCAGCGGGGCTGTGACCCGAAGCTCAGCCTCATAGGCGCCACCCTCACCCAAATTTTGGGCATGGAACGTCAGGTTCAGTGAGTTCTTGTCACCCAGGTACACGTGTTTCTTCTCCCTGAAGGGGACATAGGGTAAGGACACTGAAGAATGAATCCACAAACCAAGGCAATGGGGCATGGTAATAACACAGCTGGACTAGCCTTGCTGATTGGGCCCTAGCTCTGGCAAGCATAAGGTGAGGTGCTGCATGCACAGTAGTGCCCTTAATCTGTCTAGAGTCAGAGAAATGAATGCTCCCTGTAGACAAAGCTGAAACCCAGAGATGCTTACAGATCTCACAGCTAGAGTATCCCTGACGTTTAGTCACGTGACAGTCCTACTCACCCATACACATCCAGCTGCAGGTCAGGCACACAGATATTGTCCTCACCGCAGTCCAGCAAGATTTGGGCCTGGGAAGCAGGATAGCTTTGAGAGGGGTCCTACCACCCCCTTTCTGGGGCTCTGCCTCAGATGCCAGGCCTGTCCTCCCAAGTTCTTTCCTTACCTTGTCCTCTATCCGACTCTTGCTCTGGTAGTGTAGGACTGGCTGGAGGCCATGGCTGTCCATGGGGGCATTGGGGTCCAGGGAGAAGTTGAGGGCGATGTGAATCGGGGAGAGTTTGTCTCGGAATTCTGACTCATTCTAAGGCCAGGGGAGAGTGCACAAGATCAGGGACTCTGGGGCCTCAGTGGCCTTGCTTCTTTGACTCACTTCTCTTATTATCTGTTTAAGACCCAAATTTAACAATCCCCATTGCTCTGTGGGTCTAGGCTCCTGGTGTCTGGATCTTCTGATAGAAGGGCTTCTTTTTTAGCCTCTCAAGAATCCCATGACCCTCAGGGGGAACCTCACAGAGACAGACAGACAGACAGACAGACAGACAGACACACACACACACACACACACACACACTCAGGCTAGGTCACCCCCACCCTCAAGCCATACCCTGAGGTAGATCTTCATCTCCCTGCAGTCCTCCCGAGCCCCGTTCTGGATAATCAGGGTCTGGGTAAGGGTGGCCTGCTTGGAGGCCAGGAACAGCGCCCGTCGAATCCCTCCTTTCTGCTTCTGCCAGTCCAGTTGGAGTTCTACCTCAAAAGCTGTGGCCAGGAAACATGGTGTGAGTCTGTCTCTCCTACCTGCTGGACTCAGTCCTCCCATCCCACTCCTTGGTCTACCACACTCAAGCAGTCTCCCTTACCTATAGAGTTGGGGACGTGCTTTCCAGAGGCATTGAGGCAGAAGCTAAGGTTGATGCTGGAGAAAGACGGAGGAGAAAGTGCTGAGTGTAAGTGGAACTGGACTCCCACCTGCCTCAGAAAGACCCAGACTAGGTCACCCCCATTTGTCCCTTGCTGAGGCAGACATGGGCCCCCTGCCCTCTGACAGGTACAGATCTCTGCAGGTTCCTGGCTCAGCTCACCAGGACACAGGGTTTCCTTCCAGGCTGCAGCTGCGCTCCTCTGGGTTGAACATGGAGGGGAAGATGGTGAGAGACGCGCTGGCAGATATGATAGGCCGACCCCTGCAGAGTGGATGTGTGGTAAACAGAATCAAGGCTCCTCCGAGGGCTGGGCACCTGCCCCAGGACACCAGCTCCCTCTGCACTGACATTCCCAGTCTTAGTTCTAAAGGGACGTTTCTACTTCCCCAGGCTGCCTCAGTCTCCCTGAGTTCATACCTGTATACCAGAGCCTTGTCCACACCAAAGGACCCAACGATTAGATCTGCAAAAAGCCAAGATACATCCCTTTACAGCAAGCCCCAAATCAGGATCCCCTTTTCCCAGGCTTTCTAGTTTCATGGCTCTCGGAGACCCGAGCTAGGGAACTGCACCATCTGGTGGCAGCTGCCTAGAAATGCACACAACTTACCAGGGTATCCATTGCCATCCAGATCTCTGCCTCCTCGAAGGGCGGAGCCAAAGAAGTCTGGGGTATGGCCAGCTGCCCACAGGGGCTGCAAAACCTGGGAAGGCTTAGTGCTCAGTCCTCCTGGGCCTCCAGGGAATATAAACACGACTCCCTGCTGGGTTTCCCCACCAAATGGAGCCCCAATGGCAACATCTGCAAGACATAACACACATTTGTCATCAAGTTAGGAGGCCAGGTGTTGAAATCCCTACCACAAAACCTGCCCCTCATCTACCTGTCATTCCTGTTCTAAATCTCTTTAAACCCCAATATCCTTGGAAAGTCAAGAGGGCCTGGGTAGTTAGTTTAGTTAACATAAACCCTCTCCCTAAATTCCTGACCAATCAGGCTTCCCCACTCAGTCTCAGCCCCCTGGGCCATGATGCTTACCATTGTAGCCATCTTGGTCCAGGTCCCCCAGGGGTGTCAAGGAGCTTCCAAATCTGCCGAACTCATCTTGGCCAGTGAGAGTGAGGGTGGGTGTGGGCTCTATGCCAGCTGGGTGCTGCAGGTAGATATAAACCCTGCCCACCTCCTGAGGTCTCCCATCAGCTGTCCGCTCCATGAGCAAGGGTGCCCCTACCAGCAGATCATCTAGCCTGCAGAAAAGGGCAGATCCAAGCATCTTGATAACCTGTCTTGTCACAATTTATTGCCCCTATACAGGAAATCCAGGCATTCTGGATGCCCAGGCATTCCCTTCTGTAAAAAAGATCTGAGGGCTCTGATGTAGCATTCAGCCCTCTCCTTGCCCTGACCAACGAGAAGGATAGCATTAATGAGAGTCCAGAACAAAAACTATGAGGAGCACTCTGCCCGCACTGTCCCATCCCCATCCTTCCTGCTCAGGTCTGGAAAATGCACCCCTTCCCCATCACTCACCCATCTCCATTGGTATCAGTGGCAGCCACAGCATAGCCGAAGTAGGAGGCCATCTGTGGGGACAAAGGACATCACTGGGTCAGAACACGGTTCAGTCAGTAAACAGATCAAGAGTGAGTGGATGTTCAGTGGCTCCAGAGAAGGTTGGAAGCTTGACACTATTGGTCCAGAGCTTAGTTGGCAAGAGAGACAACCTGGAGTAAGCGAGGGTGTCCTCACCTGTTCTCCTGAGACATTGTAGAGGGACTGGATGTCTGAGCCATTAAGGATGGTGACCTGAAGATGAAGAGAAAGGCCTGTTGGTCCTGAATGCCCCACAAGTTGAAGGTCTGGGACACACGGGACAGGCATTTCTCAGGGGCACCTAAGCACTTCTCTGACTCCTTCCCAGTTTGCCCGCCCTCCACCTACATGTCTTCTCTACCCTGTTGCTGTTTTGCCCCCCCCTTTTTTTTAAAGATTTATTATTTTTATGTACATTGGTGTTTTGGGTGCGTGTATGTCTGTGTGAGGGTGTCAGATCCCTAGAACTGTAGTTACAGACAGTTGTGAGCTGCCATGTGGATGCTGGGAATTGAACCTGGGTCCTCTGGAAGAACAGCCAGTGCTCTTAACTCCTGAGCCATCTCTCCAGCTCCCGCTGTTTTGCCTTTTTCCTTTAAATCTCTTATGGATTTTCATCTCTACCCAGTAGATTCTAGTGACTAGAATATAAGATCGGTGGGACCAGCAGCATGGTTTTGGTTTTTGCCTCTCAGCGACCAAAGAAGAGCTTAGCAAGCAGGAGGTAAGCAGTAATTGATATCGAATACATACTGGGGTTTCAAACCCAGCAGACTCAAAACTTCCGTTATCCCTCACCCACCAGCATCTACAAGTCCTCACATTTCTGTCTCCTCTTAGCCGTTGACCCAGCAGACCTCCAAGTCTCTTGGATCCTGCTTTCTGCCCTGCTGTTCTGCTGAGACTTGGTGTGAGCCTTCCTAGGACTGCTGGGCATCCAGCCTCTGTGCCTTGGATTTCTCCCACTGGCATTGATGCCAGAGAGCAGATGGAGACTGTTACTCCCCCCTGTGCACCCCAGGGAGCCCCCTGAGCCACTGTCAGTCTCTGTCTATTGGGGGCCCTCCAAGGCTCCTGGTGTCTGGCCCCACGGTCCGTGCTTGTTCAATACTCCCTTACTCTTCTCACCCTCTTTTAGCTTGTGGGGCTACAAACTAGCTCCAGTTTCCTATTCTTTGTATTCTTCATGCCTGTGTCTGGGACTCCCTCTTGACCCATCTGTGCAGAGCCCTCACAGAACCTTCTCTGGCGCACCCTCTCTGGAAAGAGGTTACTGCTTTCCTAAAATGTGTTAGGTTACCTCAGTTGCTTTTCAGGAACTTCCAATTCAGAAAGAGTGTAGAATTGGGAATATGGTAGATATTAAATATTTATCCAGCTGCCCCTAAGCAACATAATTGGTATCTTAGAACCATAGTTTATTTGCAAATTGTCAAGGCTGTTCTCCGCCCGACAGGGCTGTAGTGGGGAACACCATCATGAATGGACAGTGCCTGAGACCTTGAGAGGCTCGTGAACAGTAGCTCCATCAAGATGAAAGCTGTGTGTCTCATCCCACATACTTGACTAGAGGCGCCTGACAAGATGGGATAAGATATCTTAGTCTCATCTCTCACCTTGCCTTAATAAATGTTATTAATCAGACAGCTGTGTGTGGCACCCATCTGTCCGGGCTTTTGTCATAGTCTAATGATAGCAGCTGGCTGTTGTACACTCCTAACAATTCACAAGTGCTTCCATCCCCTTACAAGTGCCTAGTGAGGTCAGAACTATTATTACCCCATTGCACATGGAAGAAGCAGCTTGGAGAGGGTAAGCAGGGGACAGTGTAGCAATAAAAGAACAGACAAACTTATCCAGAGTCAGTGCCAGAATTTGAACCCAAGTCTGACTTCACATGCTTCCTTTCCTTGAACTAGACTTCCGAAATCCTATCTGTTTTCCCCAGAGCCTATGTTCTTATCTATTTTTTTTTTCCTGAGGCTCCACAAACTGCCATGCAAGGCTCTGCATTTAGCCAGGGTGAGAGGCAGGAGATGGTGGGCAGGGTCTTACATAGCCATAGGTGAGGTTCCCTTTGGGCACACCAGCAACAAAGTCTGCAAAAAGAAGAGAAACTGGTGGGTTGAGGGAAGGACAGGACAGACTCAGAACACTGTGTTTTGGGCTCTCTCCAGCCCCCCCGCCCCCTTGGCCTAGCCTGGGGTAAGCCTCACTTACCTTCTGTGTCATCACCACTGAATTCACCCACAGCCACAGAGTATCCTGGGGGACAGAGTGGGTGGATGTTAGCATTGCCTCCTTTGGGACCCCTATTCTCTGGCCCTCAATCCCTTCATAGTCAGCCTCTACACAAGTATGGTGGCAGAGCTGGTCGCGCTGAGTGGGAGAAGCAGGGGAGGCTGGGTGAGGACAGAAGCCCCTAATGTGCCCTCCCATTCTCCCCCCACCCGCTTGCCTACCCAAGTAGCTGTCATCATATATGGAGCTGGCCTGGCGGGTCTGCAGCTGCCCCTGTACAGGATTGATGAGGTATTCTGGGTAATAGGACTTCGAGATCTGCTCTTGAGTGGCGGACAAGATCTGGCCTGGAAGGAGAAGGGAAGGATTAGTGAGTTCAGACCTAGAGGGGGAAAGGATGTGGTGCCAAGGCCTGAAGAGGACAGAGGAAGGGCTTACCTTGCCAGAAGTAGCTCCCCGGTCCACCCAGGACCACATGGCCAGTCTGTGGAGAGGTGAGGGGAAGAGGGGATGAGTGTACCATTTGGTGCTGATCCTGGATCCTCACTCACTGCCCTCCCTCCACAGTCACCTCTCACCTTGGTGAACTCAGCACTGAAGCCCCCTTGACAGTAACCCTGCCCTGCTGCGCTGCTGAAATCTGTGAGGGAAGAAGACAGTGAGGTGAGCTGTGCACTGATGGGCTGACAGGGAAGAGAAGCAGGGGCTGAAAAGGAGACCAGAGTCTCCTGAGCAGCCTTGAAAATGTATATTTTGTTGCTTGGTGGCCATGAAGAAAAAGCCCTGAGCACCTGGGATCCTCACATGGAAATAGTAGGTCATGCCACTCTGGCTCCTACCTGAGCGGCAAGGTGCATACTCCAGAATCCGGGTGAAGTTGTCTGTGGAGAGGTAGCAGGTGCCCACGGGGTCACTCTGTGGATCCTTTTCTGTGCGCCAGCTGTACAGTGGAGCGCATGCCTGGGAGGGCCCAGAGAGTGATTTCAGGTTTAGCCCAGTAAGAACTCCCCAGCCAGGCCTGGCTTTCTCCACCACTGCTCAGCTCTTAGGCACCATACCACTGAGCCCACTGGCCCCTCACCAAGATGGAGGAGCCGTGGGCTCGGACCGTTGCCCCGAACCACTGCAAGGACTTGTACTCCACAGGCTCCTCTCCCTTGGCACTGGACAGTGAGGACTCCAGGATCCGGGAACCTTGGGGAAGTTGAAAGGGGCTGTCACACTGGTTCACAGAGAGGTGACCCTCAGTCTTGGCCCAGGATGCTCAGCATTTCTAGACCCTGAGCCCTGAGCCCTTCCCAAGTTGTCTCCTTGGTTTCTCTGGTTTCCTCTTAGCTATAACAGGACACTTGCACTGTGGTGCTGGGGAGCTGGCGAAGTCCCATGGCTAACTTTTGTCTGTACACCAGCCTCCAACAGCCTTTCTCTCCACCTCCTCACTAGACCTTCCTTTCTGTCTCTTTCCAGCCTAAACTCTGCCCTTTGTACCATTGCCTTTCTCGCTCTTCTTATTCTCCACCTGTCTCTCAGGCTTTTTATTTATTTGTTCGTTTTTAAGACAGTGTCTCATTTGTAGCCCAGGCTGGCCTTGAACTTCTGGCAATCTTCCTGCTTTAGCCTCCTGAATGTCCTTAGGCTTTTAAAAGTCAGTCTGTTTAGGAACTGGAGGCTGTAACTTGGTGGTACAGCACATGTGTGTGTGCATAATCCCTAGCACCCTTTCAGAAATCAGCTAGCCTCCATGTTTTTTCTTCTCTTTTCTTTTCTTTTCTTTTTTTTGGAGACAGGGTTTCTCTGTGTAGCTCTGGCTGTCCTGGAACTTGCTCTGTAGATCAGACTGGCCTCAAATTCACAGAGATCCAAATGCCTCTGCCCACCCTCAGTGCTGGAACTAAAGGTGTGCTCCACCGCATCCGGCTTGGCCTCCACATTTTCATGTTTACCTCTTCTTGCCCATTTACCTCAGTCCTTACCTCTGATGATAGATTTTCTGAATTTATATCCTTGATCTCTTACTTGCTGAGTGACTTCCTCCCTCACAGGATGGGGAAACTAATTCAGTTGCTGTAGGATTAAGTGAGCCAAGGCACTCATGATAGTGCCTAGCATGGAGCAAATGCTCCAGTGCTGGTTGAATATCCTCTGCTCCCTCAGGCCCATCTGCTTGAGGGCTGAGCTCCCTGTGGCAAAGGCTGAATCACACTATAGCTGGTGTGCACTATCACTTAGCTTAGGAACAGAACCCTCTTCAAGCCTCTTCTTCTGTCTTTTGTGTTATGGCCCTGGCCTCCCAGAGTTGTGGGCGATTCAGTGGAAATGAGAGCCACATGTTTCTGAATCATGCCCGCCCTCCTTGGGCTGGGCTGGGAACATGGAGTAAGTGCCATAGGGAGCCCACAGCTAGGAAATGGAGCACCAGAACTACTGCTAGGGGAGCACGTGGTTCTGGTGCTGAGGCTGTATGCCTCGAAGCAGGAACCCCAAGCCCCACCCTCAAGCTGCAGGCCCACCCACCCACTTACTCTAGGCCCCTCCCTGAACTCTTCCAGCCTACCTTTGCTGTCAAATTGAATGGTGGTGCACTGGGCAGGGCTGGTATCCCAGGGACACACGTAGACAGCACCACCCTGCAGAACACCTGGCTGGCTAGTGTTAGCCTTGGGCGCTCCCACCAGCACACTGACCCTGTGAAGGGGCAAGGAGAAGCGGATTAGGAGGGGTCCTATTTCCAGGTCAGTTTCAGGTGGCAGGATGCACCCAGACCTTTGGGCCCAAGGGTGGGGGTGGGGTAGATGTCCCTTGGGTTGTATTTATATCTCAGAAGATGCCACAGATGCCAGAGGCAGGGGCTGGAGTCAGGCGTTCCCACGTGCTGCTGTCACTAACTCCGCTCCTCCCCTCCTCCCACATTCTCCTACCTTCTTCTACTACCAGAGAGGAGGAGCCAGAGTCAGTTCCTGGAAAAGGAACGAGGGGCAGAGGGTCTAGACTCCAGCTTCTCCTTTTCTTCCATCTATCTGCCAAGGTTGGATGCCCAGACCAACTGAGGCTGTGGGCCAGAGGTTGAGGGTGTGCTTGGCACATGCAAGGCCCTCAGCATCAGGAAAACAACAAAACAACAAACAAATAGTACCAAATGCAATGTGTGTCCTTTGGTTGAAAGTAGATTAAAAATATATATTAAGGGACAATTTAGTCCTAGAACCCCAGGTTCCTGTGGAGTCTCAGGGGCCTCACCTATTGTGTACCCTCTCTCCCCAAGCCAAATTTTCTCCCTGGGTTGGAACCCAGGCAACTGGCCACTTAGTCTTGGGGCATGTTGGAGGAAAATGTGAGTGTCGGAGAGGAGCTGGAGCACTGTGAAAACAGGCTGTTTCCTGGGCCTGGCTTGCCCCACCCTGTGGCCCAGAGTAGATCTCACTAGCTGGGGCTCTGCCTCACTTGTACCTCTTTACCACAAAGCAGCCCCAGAAGACTGAACTCAAATCCTGTTCTGTTGGATCCTCTTCCTGGACACACATGCCCGAGATGGGGTCCTCCACTAAGGGAGGGCTCCTGGAATTCCTCCTCTACCAGCCCTGGTCCCTTGGCTCCTGGGCCTCCACACAACTCTCCTCTACCAGCCCTGGTCCCTTGTCTCCAGGTCCTCCACATAGCCACTGCCCTGTTCTCTCTTGGCGCTTTACTCAGAGTCTCCTGCAAGGACTGCATCTGGCAGCCTGGGCAGCTTTCCCTGGCACCCCAGCTCTGGGCCAGTGTCCCGGCCAGGCTTGGCCTCTGCTCTCCTCCCCCGCTGCCATTGGCATTGCTCCTCAACCTCTCTGCCTGCCTGTCCCCAGTACTGCTTGCTCTCTTGATTTAGATTCCTGGGTCTCCTCCTTTGAAAAAAAAAAAAGTAATCATTTAATGTGTATGGATATTTTGCCTGAATGTCTGTGTGGCGTGTGGGTACTTGGCTCCAGGAGGCCAGAAGAAGGTATTGGATTCCCTGGGACTGGAGTTACGAGTAATCATGAGCTGCCGCTGCCGTATGGGTGCTGGGAATTGAACCCTGCAGCCAGTGCTCTTAACTGCTAAGCCGTTTCTTCCTTCTTTTCTGATTTCAGATCTCTGGTCTCTCCACCTCTAATGGTTTTTGTACCCTTTCAGGTTTCAACACCCCCAACACCTACCCCTCTTCTTGCTTGTTCCACAGCCTTTATCACTAGGATTGTGGGTTCAAGAAGGGACTTAGCAGAGGTCACAAAGGCAGGAGTGTCTTCCACTAGGGTTACATATACTGAGGGGGAGGGTCAGGGTCTAAGAAGAGCAAGTGATGGGGTCAACAGGGAAGGCAGTCCCTAGGACACCAGTGGAGTATGGAAGGTGTGTGAGAGGACAGGTGAGAATAAAGAAAGCAGGGGTCCAGGGGAACAAGAGTTGGGGCAGGACAGGAGGTGCCTTAAGTTATAGAGTGGAGAGGGGAGGTGCCAGCTTCAGTTACCCTGGGGACAGGAAATGTTTACTGCCTGTGGCTTCCTGTCAGTTTCCAGCCTCACATTTCTCCATTTGTCTCCCACCCACTGGGTCTCACCTCTCTCTCACTCAGGCATTAAGGCCAATTAGAGGTTTGAGCCATCATTCCAAGGGCCCAGTGACCTTCTCAGGTGAGAATGCCTGAGGCTGACGCCATTGAGAAGCTGCAACCTCAGGGCTGAGAGAGAAGAGAGGGGTGTGGTCCTTCTGTAGTTAGAGCTGCCACAGAGAATTTAGCCCTGGCCTCTTGCACCAAAAAATAGTGAGGGTGGTGGTCTACACAGTAAGTCACAGGACGGCCAGAGCTGCACAGGGAAACCCTGTCTCAAAAAACCAAACCAAAACAACAACAAAAACAGTGAAGGCATTGCACAGGAACCAGACAGCTGCACAGAGTTGGAGCTCTGGTTCTTGCCCTAGCTCAGCATGGGCTTGGGTTTCCTCTTTCTCTGACTTCTACCAAGGTCCCCAGATTTCTTCCATACCACCTGCATTTGTACAGAAACTGAGAAGGGAGTGTATAGTTCAGCAACCCTTACAAAGCTTGTGAAGGCCATGGGCCAGGGGCATATCTGTTTGCTATGTGAAGGTTTGGGGATCCCAGAATGTAGACAGCGGACATGGATCCTGATCAGCCCACACAATCCACGCAAGGCTTCTACCTAAGGCTTTAGTGGTGTGTCCATCTCAGAGTTCTCATTCTAGCACCCACACATACCAGCTGATGTGCCTGTGCCAAGGCTGCCATGTTATTATCCCTATTCTCCTCCTACCCGATGCTTCTTAAATACTGCAGCAGTAGAATCCTCATAGTGATCCGAAAGGGGACTAAGGGAGGGAGGGTCCTTGGGCTGTTTCCCACATTGCAGACTGCCTAACGGAAATCATGCATTTATCTGATAAGGCATACCAGGCTAATTAAAACTTCAAGTGCATTTGCTTTTGACTGGCATTACACCAACTTGTGTGGGGAACCTGGTTATCTCAGGCTGGTCAGAATTTCTGATTGGCAGCTATAGATACTCTTGGTTCATAAAAGATAAAAAGACCATGAATTATCTCCCACTAGACGCTGCTTGGCAGATAGACTCTATTACAGAGTCCGAGGGAAGAAATGCTTGCCATCATTTATCCAGAAGCCTCAGAGGGTTTGGTTAGTCTTTTGAGACAGATGGCCATTTCTAGAAGCCACCGCACAGAACATCTACTGGTTTTAGGACTAATGCAGATGCCCTGTGGGTGCTGCATGTAGGACAGGAAGGCCATCTCAGTCCTGACATTCCTCAACAAGTCCCTAAACTGCTGACCTAGCCTTACGACCTTATTTGACAGATGGGAAAACTAAGTCCAAGAGAAGTCACAGCCATCCGTGGTTGCTCAGAATCTTTCCCAGGATATGAACAGAAGCCTGGAATCCTGGCTCCTAGGCTAGTGTTCTGCCCTGCCCCACTGCCAAATATCCCCTCCTCTCTTCTTCACTATCTCCCTAGCCAGGCTTTTGATTAACCAAGCCCCTGTTCAATATTCAGTTACTGTTTGACTCCCTTGGCTTGACAAGGTCAGGGTAGAGAGAAAGCAGCAGGTTGGTCAGGGCCCAGCTCCCACAATCCTGCCTCACCCCTAGCCAGGCCAGAGGTGCACACCTGCTTCTGGAACCCCAGGTACATTCTGAAGGGGTACACCTGGCTGGCCGAATAAGAGTGGCCTCCAGCAGACAGGCTCACTTTTTAAGCTTTAAGTCCTAGGTTAAGTCATTGTCCCTCCTCTAGCTTTAAATTCTCTCAAAGATGAGTTGCTTTTGATGGTCCCTAAACTAACTTCTAGTTCTAAATTTTTTTTTTTTTTCCGAGACAGGGTTTCTCTGTGTAGCTTTGCGCCTTTCCTGGATCTCGATCTGTAGACCAGGCTGGCCTCGAACTCACAAAGATCCGCCTGCCTCTGCCTCCCGAGTGCTGGGATTAAAGGCGTGTGCCACCACCGCCCGGCTAGTTCTAAATTTTTATGACTTTTGAAGCAATAATATTTTCTCTGCTCAACACAGAATTTTTGTAATAATCCAATGAGAAATTGATATGAAAGCATAAGAGGGATGTAAGGGATTATTATTGCTATCACAGTTATTAGCAAGTACTACAAGCATGTGAGGACTGGGAATGAGCAGTTCCAGCAGGTGGACTGCCTGCCAAGCGTGCACAGAGGCCCTGGGTTCAATCTCCATAAACTGGGTGTGATGGAGGGTGTGGCAAAGCCAGCCTGTAATCCCAGCACTCTGCAGAGGTAGGAGCAGAAGTTCAAGGTCATCCTTGGCTATACAGCTTGAGTTCAGCCTGGGAATGAATAAATGAATGAATGAATGCAAGTCAGAAATGGAGGAAAACTTAAGATATGAATGAAATTGGTGCCAGGAAAATGAAAATCAGAACCAGGACTCTCCCCAGAAAACTCATGCTTTTCGTGTGTTGCCTGAACGTGGGCGGACGGACACCTTTTAGGTGTTGTCTCATTCAGTTCTTAGAGTAAGTTAGATCTCATGTTCAAGGGAAGGTTGGTCTCCAAGGGCTTAAGTAACTTGCTCAAGTCCCAGCCCTTTGGTGAGTGGTGAGCACTCACACCCAGGGCTGCCTGGCTTCACCCCTTGTTGCCTGTGAGACCTCTGCAGGGCTCACCCTGTTCTCTTCATTGTTCAACATGAGAAGCGATGCAGAAGAATCCTGAGTTTTCCCACATGAAGGAGAGGGAGGCCAAGTCCAGCACACAGGTGCTGGGAGGGAGAATATTCTAAGAGGGTTACACACAGAGCAAAGGGGAGGGGAGCAGAAAGTGAGTTGGACACCTGGGTTCTCTTGGGAGCATAGATGAACAGGGTGGGGGTGAGATGAAAAGACTGGGTCCTCTTTTAGAAGAAGCCTTAGGGACTGAAGGATCAGGCCAGGCCCAGATACACACCTAGGGGACAAGGAGTGCAAAGTCCAACAGATATGTCAGTTTTAAAAGAGAACTAGCTGACCGTTTTGTGTGGGGTGGGGTAGGGATAAGGGAGAAGTAAAAAGCCAGACACCCTGATGAGGAAAAACATCCTATATCCACTCCATCCCTTCTGCTCCATTAGGGTTGCGGTAAGAAGTTTGGGGGACCTTGGGGGAGGCAAGGCCTGGCAGAGACTCTAGGCCAGGGTGATGCAACGAGGCTTGGGCAAGAGGCCAGGGTGTGGGGTGGGGACCTTGAAAAGCCCAAATTCAACGTCTGGGGCCTAGTTATCTTTTTTTTTTTCCATCCCTAAGTCCCCCAGACAAAGTAGAAAATCGTCCCTTCCCCAACTGAATTAGCTAGAGTTAGCCCCCTCCCCCACCCCCTAATTAAACAGATAGCTAGAATCAGCTCACCTCTGACAAAGGTCCTATCAAGTCCTAAGATCTCGGGGTGGGGGTGGGGTGCTGCGGTGGGCATAAGGAGGCTCAGAGCTTGGAGGTGGAGGAGAAACTACTGCTGTCATCCAAGGGGTTCAGGAATCTGGCATCTGGGGTTCCCTGTCCCAGAAGCTGGGACTGTCACCTTCCTCTTACTTCCTAGCGTCCTCCCCTCATTTAAACAAACACTTTTGTTTCAGTGTGGCCTCTAACTCTGATTTCCGAGCCTGTGGGCACCCATTTTCCAGGCACTAGGAGTCTAGGTCTGTTTATTACCCGGAAATAAGGATCTCCATACAGATTTTCAGGAACCTTCGTTCTGATGCTCTTGGGCCCAGAAAGCCTAAGTCTCCCCAGCTTCCGACCCTAGTCCCAGAAGTCTGAGTCTCAGTTCAACTACAGCCGACAAGCTACAGGAAATCAGCTTTTCTCTTCCTCCCAAGAGCTGAGCTAGAGGGAAACCGCCCACCCCCCTTCAGGCGCGCGCACACACACCCCTCCCGACACATCCGTGCACCGCCCTGGGCTGATCCCGCCTCTAGCTCCAGCACCCCCAGTGCCGGGGTCCAGGGATTCTCCCTAAGTTTTTGGATCTCCTTGCCTGAAGAGACTGGGGGTGGGAGGCGACGCAGGGAACTGAGGAGAAAGGGGAGGGGGAGCTCCGTCCTACTCCCTGGTCTTTCCCCAGTCTGAGTTGATGGGGGAGGGGAGGATGAGACTGGCCCCCACATAACCTCCCGACCCTCTCTGTCTGTCTGCCCTCTTACTGCACGCGCTCACCCAGCTTCAACCCTCTCAGTGGCCCCACGGAGGATCTCGAAGTTCCTTCCCTAAGGCCCGGCCTCCGCGCCCCCCTCGACTCCCACCCGCCACAGGTCCCCAGCAGCCCACAAATCGCCGGAGACCCTGAGCTTTCTGCGCTCTTTCCTCCTGGTTGGCCTTGCGACCCTGCCTGCACTTCTCCAGCTTCTAGATTCCCGTCCTCTCCTCATGCCACAAGTCTCGACACCGATCTCACACTCCACGTCCGCCACGGTGCCTCCCTGCTTCAGCGCGGGCCCCCAATTCTAGCTTGGGCCCCCAACCCTAGTTCTGGTCCTTTCAAACTCCGCCCTCAAACTCAAGTCTTGGTCGCCTCCAGACCCCGGCGCGCCCCCAATCTCCAGGTGGCCCCCTGCTCCCTTCTCGCCGCCAACCTCGCCACTCACCCGTCCCTTCCTGGCCGGTAAAACTCCACGGAGAAGCCGAAGAGGGAGCCGGGGGGCCCGGAGAGCACCGCTGGGGCCTCCGCTTCTAGGTTGAAGCCCCCAACCTGGAGTGGCGGCGGCCACAGGAGCAGCAGCAGCGGCAGCAGCGGCGGTAGGCACCGGGGCCCCCAGCGCAGCGGCACCGCGTGGAGAGGAGACGGTGGCGACCGTGGCGTCCGGCTCCCCATAGCGCCCGCTCTTCCCTGTCCTGGGGCCACCGACCCGGAGCCGCTTCCTAAACCTCCCAGAGGCGAATGACTCAACGCGGGGAGGAGTTTGCCAAACTCCCGGCTGGGCCCTCCCCCCGGCCGCCGGGCCGGCTGGCGGGGGGACATTCCTGGGTCCCCGGGACGCCGAGGCCGCGCCCCGCACCCCGAAGGGGCGTGGGGGGCCGCACCTCTGAACCCCTGGCTCCGGCCCCAGCTGGAGGTCGGTGGTCTGGCCTGGCTCAGACTGGGCGGGCTCGGGTTCTTCGCCCTCCTCTCCGCTTCCCCTCCCTCCTCCCCCTCCTTTCCAGATGTACAACGTAAACGCTCGGAAAAGGAGTTGGAAAAAGGGAGCAGAGAATTTCCTAATGAGGAAAGGAATCACCTCTGCGGGGTGGAGGGAGCCTGAACAGTGTGTGTGGGGGTCTCCCTCACTTATTCAGGAAAGAAGCTTTGGGGTCGAGAGACAAGGGACTCCTCTGGCGTCCATCCAACAGGGATTCCCCCTTGCCTTCCGGGGCCACCGGGTGCCTGGGTTCGGGCCAGCTGGATTGGGGACTCTGCAGCCCAGGCACTGAGTGCTTCCAGGCAGCCTGCTGGAGCAGCTTCGCTGGCTGCGGGAGTTCCGCGGCTGCCCCTTCCTAAACTGGTAGAGTGGAAAGCACAGGAGTTTGAGGTCTCAGTTCTCTAGCTTCTCTCTAAGGTAGGGTTTGGAAGTCTCTGTTATGGCCCTTTCTTGGATTTGGCAGTTGACCAACTGGCCAGCCCCCCAATTCAGTGCCTTCATCATGATGCCTGATTTCCTGGAGAAATCCCAGAAAGATATGTGATGGGTGGCAGATGTGATGGTGGTGGTAGGGAGTCTTCAAAGGGAACCAGCCTTCGCTTTCTGTTGGCCGTCTTGGTCACCCCCATAGCCTGTCTAAGTAGAGGAAGGAGGTTTAGTAAGTGGAGGTACCTTTCTAGCTCCTAGCTCAGGCGGTGTGTGATGAGATCACCTTTCAGGACTCTAGTCTTTATCTTACTCTGGGGGATGGGGAGAGAGGCCTGGAGTCTCCCCTAATCTCCTTCCCTTTCTACTCCCTTCTCTGCCTTTTTCTTCCAGGACTTCTCCCCTTCTGGAACAATGCTCCCAAACTTAAATCCTGCCCTTGTGCCTTTCCTTCTCGTTTGCTTCGCTGTGGCCTGTGGGGTTTCCGAATAAAAGTACCAGAGTCAATTTTTTTTTCTTCCTGCTGTGTGCTCCCCTCCTTCCTCACTCGGGTACCCTGCTTCCTCTCCCCAGTCACCCAGTTAGGTGTTCAAAACTCCCGTCTCCAGAGCCAGTTGCAGCCCCAGCCAGAGGCCAGCCGAGCAGACCATAGCCATGGTGGCTCCGCCCCACTTTCACAGGTTAGGACCCCAAGGAATCTGTGGGTCAGGATCTGAGGCAAGCAGAGCCCAAAGGTAACCTCTGGTGAGACCAGCCAAGGGGAACCCCCTTGGAGAGAAGGATGGAGCCTTATTGTTTATAGAGATCCATGTGAAGCTTGGGTCTCACATGTGAATCCAGTCCTCTCTTTTCTCAGCCCAGACTCTTCAGACTTTTCCCAGGATTTAGGATCTGGGGAAAGAGGTGGCTACAGCTAGGGAGGTGTGTGACTCAGACCCTCCCAGGAGCCTTGGTGGGGGACAGGGGACACAGTGTCCTGCCCTGGTCCTCCTCCTCAATTCCCCAACATTGGCCAACTCAAACAGGCCCCCTCCCTGTCCATTCCTTGCTCCTGTTTACACAGGAGCCCCTTAGTCATTCTCTGGCTAGCTTCTCTGCTCTCCCCAATATCCCTCCTCTCTTGGCTCTCCTGCCCTTATAAGTCCTCACCCAGCGGCCTTCTCACTTGTCTTGCCTTCGCCTAGCCTCCCTTTCGTCTGCTTCTTGTTGAATCTGAGCTGGGATTTCTTCCTGCTTGGAGGTGGTTCAACAGTAACCCTCCAGGCCAGTTATAAGAGGATCCCTGGAGGCTATCCATCCAGTCTTTTTCAGAAGAGAAAATTGCTGTAGAATGATGACTTGTTCAAGATCACATGGCTAACCATGGAGAGTCTAGGACCTGAGTGCTATTTTTTTTTGTTTGTTTTTTACAATCATTTTTTGTGTGTGAGATCATGCACAGGTAATGACACACGTGAATGGGTCAGAGGACAACCTTCAGAAGATGTTTCTCTTATTCCACCACGTGGATCCCTGGGATCAAACTCAGGTTATCAAGTCTGAGGTAGCAAGTACCTTTACCATTTTGCCAGCCCAGCCTGACTTGGGTACTCTGACTCCAAACCCATGCCTCTCCTCTGAGCCCGTTGCCTGTGTCCTAGGTCTCCTCTTAACCCCTTTCTCCCTGCTCTGTATCTCACCTCTCTGGCCAGTCTGTGGGCCTCTGTATATCTCTGGTTTTCCTTTCAGATCTGACATCTCTGGTAGCCTCTGTCCTGTGGTTCAGTGGTAATGATTTGCTGGGATGGCTATTATTAATCATAGTGTGCTCCATGATGGAGGCAGAGGGTGAAGGACAAGACCAGGACACTCCCCGAGCTCCTGCTGTCAGCAGCTTGACTGCCTTGAAGGCTATAAGTTTAGAAGCAGAAGAGTGAATTTCCACAGGGGAATTCAGATGCAGATACAAAGCCTAAAGTCAGGAGTCATACAAAGCTCTGACAGCCAGGTTAGGGTGTGAAACAGTAATGGTTTATCTAACACATGCTATATGCTGGGTTCTGGGCTGAGCTTTAAGCTGTTTCTCCATTTAATCTTCCCAAAGGCCCAGCACTGAAGGTATGACTGTCCTAATTTTACTGTTAGGAAACTCAGAGGAGTGGCTAGCAACATCACAAAAAGAAAAAGGCAGAGGAGCACCCAAAGCATCCCAGTACATTCTGAGGCTTGCTCTTCCCAGTGTTAGCCCTCTACAAAGCTGTGCTTCTACAGGGGAGCAGGAATCTTAATCTAGATCTGCTGTCCTTGGGGGTGGGGTGAGGGAGGGTTGTATATACAACCCATTAATCCTGCAAAGCCGGAGGGAAAGGTTTGTATTGACTTCTCTGGGGGAAGAGTCAGTAGCTTCTTTCAGACTCTCAGATGCCTGTAAACAGAGAGCATTGAGGCTGAGTGCACTGAATTTAAGAAGCAGGCTTCCACCTTATGGGGCCTGTAGAAAGCTTGGCTGGATAAAGGGGTCTGAGGTTCTTATGAAATAAAACATCTCAGTAGCTGGACTTACTGGCATATGCTTGTAATTCCAGCACTTGGGAAACTGAGGCAGGAGGATTGTGTATTCTAGGCCTATATAGATTACATAGTGAAATTTTGTCTTGAAAAATCCATAGCCTAGGTGGTGGTGGTACACAGCTTTAATCTCAGCACTAGGGAGGCAGAAGCACGGGGATCTCTGAGTTTGAGGCCAGCCTGGTATGAGTTTCAGGACAGCCAGGGCTACACAGTGAAACCTTGTTTCTGATAAACCAAAACCAAACCCAAACCCAAACAAAACAAAAAAACAGGACAAACCAAAAACATACAACAACAAAACGAAAACCTCATAACCAGGCTGGAGGGATGGCTCAGAGGTTAAGAACACTGGCTGTTCTTCTTTCAGAGGTCCTGAGTTCAATTCCTAGCAACCACATGGTGGCTCACAACTATCTACAATGAGATCTGGTGCCCTCTTCTGGCCTGCAAGGACATACGCAGGCAGAATGCTGTATACATAATAAATAAATACATCTTTAAAAAACAAAACAAAGCCCCCAAACCCACACTGCCCCCCCAACCCTCCTTTCCCAAACCTCTCCTAGCTGGTGTGATTGAAATACAAATGGGTCATAGGTGTGCTAGGACAGACTGATTCCCTAACTCTGGAAACCTGGGCACTACCAGAGACTCCAGGCTACTGGCTTCTGTCCAGAACAGTCTTTCTTTATTTGAGGGATTGCTCAGACTTAATGTTTTCAGAAAAGATGACACAGTTCAGTGGAAAAGGAGACAGAGGAGAGTTTGGCCCCAGAACCCCATCTCCCTGTCCTGAGCTGGAGTGATGAGCAGGTGTGGAACCTCAGTGGAAGGAAAGAAAGAAGTCTGTGAACAGAATGAAGCTGCCGAGGGAGGTGGATCTGCAGAAGCAGAGCAGGAGGCCAGTCACAGCAGAAGGCTGCTGAAGTTGGGGCATTGTTGTCTGTCAGAGAGGGGAGTGGGGAAGTTTAAGAGTAAGCCCTCTGAACTCAAGGACTGTCACTGCCTGACTCAGGTCTCTGTTTAGAGGAACTGATGGCTCCATCATCTGTGAGTCACCATTTACCACCCCCACCCGTCTGCCCAGGGAGAAACCCCTCCTCGTGTCCCAGAGGTGAAATAAACCCAGATTGCACTCTCCTTCCCGCCCCCACTTTGCTCGGAATGTAGGAGGAAGTGGATGAAAGTGTTCACCAGGGTGGCAAGAGCAGTCCTGGGAGATAGATGCTTACATCCTCTTGGGGCTGTGGAACCTAGTGACTGAAATGGTGACTAGATAGTTCTGCAGACACCAAACTCAGAGTTTTCTGGACAGAAGGACGGGGATGAGGCGATGGGCATTGACGAAGAAGGGTGGGGCTGAAGGACACTGTGATAAAAAGGACTAGTTCAGGTACAAGTTGCCCAGTGGAAGGAAGGACCATTTATTCCAACTTTCTTCAGTTTTTCTTTCTTTTCTTTCTCAGCCTTTTGGGAGTCACCAGAAATCTACAGCAAAATTTAATAACCCAGATAAAAAGTTAAAAGAAAAATAAGATCCTCAGGGGCATCCTAAACGTTGACCTTTGATTTGCCCTCTTACCTCACCCCCATTTTTTTCTCTCATTGTTCACCCCTTGCTCATAGTCCCTACCTCTGGAGAGGAAAGGGGTGCCTGGTACTTCTTAGCTGAAGGCCTGGAAGCTGAAAGGAGAGACTCCATCCGGGGTGGGAGCTGTAAGTGGGAGTGTCAGTTTCCTGGGATGGCCTTCCCAGATGTGAGCACATCTGGAGCCCATCAGGGAGGGACCTGGAGCACCAAGATTCCCAGTGCACATCCGATTGAGGCTACAAGGGGCTGTGGATGAGCCAGGAGTTCCCTCCTACTTCCACAAGTCTGCCTGCCATTTCTAGCTCTCTGTGTAAGGATTACCAGCCAAGACAGGAAGTTGAAACATTGTCAGGGCCCTGTCAGGGAGGACAGCAAGAAAGCCAGGGACTGTGCTCCAAATCCAGACATTTCAGTAGCTATAGCTCTTTATAGCTCTATAGAGATGACAGCATCTCTGATCTGGTAGAAGTGTGTATATGTATGTGATTGTGTGTGTCGGGGCAGGGGTGGGAGGTGGAGGGGTGGGGCATGGTTACACTTTGTCCTTAACACATGGCATGAAGCTGGAGATGGGACCCAGCGTAACTACCTGCCTGCTTTTCAGGAACAAGTCCTCAGAAGATCACTAGACCTTTGGCTCTCTTCATCTCTCAACTCACCCCAAACATACACTGTTTCTTTGGCTCCAGATTCCTCCTTGTCCATCATCACCTCACAATGAACACATTTGTTTTCTAGGGATCATGTGCAAGGCTAAGAATAGGTAGACCTCCTTACCCTTCAGTGAGTGCTACCTCTCTCAGGGCTGAATCATGGGGTTTACAGTGACCTCACAAGGGTTCCAGCTGTCTGCTGCAGCAAGCATTGCATAAGGCTAACACAGAAAGTCTCTGAGGCTGGAATTCATGAGGCCAGTGATGGAGTGAGTGAGGTGTGTGTGTGTGTATGTGTGTGTGTGTGTGTGTGTGTGCCCCTCCCTTTCTTCTAGAACAATGGCTGGATGAGGAGTCAAGCCTTTTAAGATTCTTTCATTTGCAGGTGGTGATGGCGGCACACATCTTTAATCCCAGCACTTGGGAGGCAGAGGCCTACCTGGTCTACAAAGTGAGTTTCAGCATAGCCAGGGCTATACAGAGAAACCTTGTCTCAAAAAACAAAAACAAAGCAACAACAAAAAAATGAAAATAAAAATAATTCATTAGTTTATTTTTGTGTGTATGTGCATGAGTTTGCATGTGAAATACAGAGGCAGATACTGGGTATTTTCTTCAATCACTTTCAATCTAGTTTTGAGACAGCGTCTTACTATACCTGAAGCTTAAGAAT